CAAAGAAAAGCCAAAAGCAACAACAACAACGTGGCAAGGAGGGCCTTAGGGTTTAGGGTTTAGGGTTTAGGGTTTAGGGTTTAGGGTTTAGGGTTTACCTCGTGAAAAGCAGTGACTGTTTTCTCTTCAAGTTGCAAAGACGCGGAACTTCTTTTGTTTCCAACTTTGAGTCTGTCGAAGCTGTCTTCAATTTCAGCATTCGTCACCTAAACCACAAACCCTAAACCCTAAACCCTAAACCCTAAACCCTAAACCCTAAACCCTAGCTACAGAGTACAGGGACACTATATGAGCCGGTCGGAAACAGCGGGACAGAGCACGAGAGAAACCCTAAAGCCTAAACCCTAAACCCTAAACACCAAACGCTAAACACGAAACCCCAAACCCCAAACCCTAAACCCCAAACCCTAAACCCTAAACCCTAAACCCTAAAACCTAAGCCCCGACGCAGCGCGGCGCAAGCAAGGCGCGGCGAAGCGAACCCCCCTCCCCGAAGCCCCAGCGCCTAGAGCGCGGCTGGCAAACCCTAAACCCTAAACCCTAAAACGTGGTTTGCCTCTTTTTTGCCGCTGCTGGCCGCTCGAATTGCTGCCAAGTTCAAAAGGTTTGCAACTTCAGCTCCAGTCAAACCCGAAGTCAAAGAAGCATAAAGAGTCAAGTCCACATCGGGCGAGAGTTGCATGCGCGAGGCGTAGTACTCCAGCATCTGCAGCAAACCCTAAACCCTAAACCCTAAACCCTAAACCCTAAACCCTAAACCCTAGCGGCCCCCCCGGCGCCTCGTCCGCGGGCTGCGCGGGGGTCTCGGCGTGGAAAGCCGCGCCGCAGGCGCGGGCCAGCGGCGACAGCGCTGCAGCAAACAGCAACTAGGGCTTAGGGTTTAGGGTTTAGGGTTTAGGGTTTAGGGTTTGTACTTCGAGCCTTTCTTTCAAAGAAGGCAAAGGAACAAATATTGTTTTGTCTACTCTTCCGGGCCGCAGCAGCGCGGAGTCGATGGACCCCAGCAAGTTCGTTGCGCAAATCAAGACAATGCCTTCCGTCTGCGCAGCAGCAGCAGCAGCAGCAGCAGCAGCAGCAGCAGCATGTGCAGCGGCAGCAGCTGAGGCTGCAGCAAGCAACTGCAGGAGAGTGGCGCTGCACTGAGGGGCGAGAGAAGCAGCAAATGAAAAACGAGCGGACTGCAGCAGCAGC